CCTTCGACAACTGACAATAATCATTTCTAAGGGATCAGCAATAACATCTGCTGTGTTTGTTTCTACCCCCCCAATCCCCCCGTGCCCTTGGTCCTGCAGATGTCAAGTGCCATCCATCAGCGATGTGGAGCGGTGACACAGCAAGAATGAACTATCAAACCGTCCAAGCTCCCAGCTGAAAATAGATCTCTGCAGCCTCAGGAAACAAAAATACAGCCATAAAAAAGTATTGGTCTTCGAGGCTTCTAATTTGGAAACGATGAACAGCTGCAGCAGCCAGACCCAAGCAGCCTGTCGGTTCCAGGTCCTCCACACACTGCTGGGCTGGTGCTGAGGGTCGAATCCAGCTCTGGGCAAGCTGAACCCGAACTCAAACACCTTCCCAAAACCCAAGAATGTGCCCACCCAGGCACCAGAAGGCTCAGGAGCAACACTCCGCAATTCACCCTTTTCGTGCTGTTGATTTTCACAGGGTAACCTGCAGAGCTATTAAAACAACCTTTACACTTCATATGTTATTGTGACTCTGAGGGTACAATAACAAGCCAAATATTTATCTCTTCTCTGTTCCTCATGCTAATGCAGTGAGGCACCTCAGAAGACAACCTGAAGTCACCCCTGTGTGATGCAAACAGCTTGTGTCTTCCCCTCCCTTGCCTCCCAGTCCAGTCCATTACACAGGAAAAGTCAGTCCTTGCTTCCCAAAGAAAAAACATATTAAAGGAAAACTTGGCAACTAATCAAGTCAAGCTATAGTGATAATGGGAACAAGGGATAACGCTACATTATATGTATCATAGAATGGTTTGGGTTAGAAAGGGACCTTAAAGATCATCTAGATCCAACCCCTGCCACGGGCAGGGACACCTTCCAGAGCCCAGGTTGCTCCAAGCCCCATGCAGGCTGGCCTGGAACACTTCCAGGGGATGGCACAGCCACAGCTTTTGTGGGAAACATGTGCCAGGACCTCACCACCCACACAGGAAAGAATTCCTTCTTACACTTAACAAACCCTGCCCTGTCAGTTTGAAGTCATTTCTCCTTCTCCCATTTAGGCACTGGAAGGGGCTCTAAGGTCTCCCTGGGCCCTTCCCTTCCCCACTGTAAATGCAGAGGAGTAACAGCCAACCAAGCGCCTTAATTCAGCCACTGCTATCAGCATTATGGAAAGCCTTAAGCCCTAGAACACGTAAATGATCACATACACACACCTCACATGTGCCAAAGTTTATTTTTTTTTCCAAAACTTGTTTCATCAAATAATTGGATATGAGCAGTTTTTAAAAAACAAACAATTTGCGTATTAACAAATTGTGAAGTTTCACAATTAAAATATCAACACAGCCAGTCTTGTGCTTAGGCTTCTTCTTAAAAAAAAATTATTAATTCATAGAACATAATCCCTCAAAATGTTTTTCCAGTTTGTGGCTAGTATATTTTCCACACATTCTGTATTCTTATAAAATGAAGGAACTCACATAAAGGAACAGCTGTACAAGAATACATCTGAAAAAAAAGCAACCTAAATTGTAGCTTCTTTTAAATAAATATCCAATAAAAGGCACAAACCTGTTATGGGGGAAAACATAACATACAAAACAAGACCTATTCAATAAATAAAGTGTGGGTTGGGGCGAGGGAAATCTGTTCCAGCACCTATTTTGTCATTGCTCCAAGATGAGATTCCATTCAAACATTTGGTAAAGGATTAAACTCAATCACAAGGATACATATTTGAGATATACTGAAAGATTTGACGTTACAATTCCTGTTGTAACTGTACCAGTTACTACAATCTCTTTAAATAAATGACTATGAGAATCTGCATAAACTAGTGATGCAGCGATGGACAGATCAATGACAAGTCAGATACATCTTCAGAGTCATAGCAACAGGTTTTCTATATTCCTAGCTATCAGTAATGTATAAATGATAACATGTACAGTTTCCATTGCTCAAAAATATAATCTTTTTAAATGGAAATAAATGACTGATAAACAGTGCCTTTAGATGTTGTCCTTACAATACAAACTACCCAAAACAAAGTTTTCCTTTTTATGTACAAATTAAGCACCGATCCACAGTGCATACTAGTCTAATTGTAACCCCCCTCCCTGCCACACATCAAAAAACCCAGCTGGGGATACACCCTGTATTCAACCTTGTAGTCAGGTTTGTTGTTGTTATTTTTTGTGTGTGTGTGTTGGTTTGCTGTTGTTTTTATTCTTAAACAAAAGTCCATTTGTTATTTTTACCTACAAATATTCCACCACTATGTGCACAGAACTGAGATTTCTCTAGTACACATGTCCAAAATGAAAAAAAAACTCATAAAAAAATCAATAACTTCTTGGAGGCAAAGTCAAACTATCCCTGGAGAACATTAGAAAACCCCAGATATTTAAAAAGAGGTACATGTTCAAGTCCAATGGGCCTAACACAACCCAGCTCTCCAAATTCCCCCAGAAGTTACCTTAAGGTGTATCCCATGAGAACAGCCTGCCTGCAGCAGCACCAAGTCCCCACACTGAGGCTCAGATGATCCACTAAAGTACAATAATGCAAAGCACACAGCATACTTCAAAGTCTTCCTCCTTGTTCAGGCAAACATGGAGAAACATCTTAGCTATCTGCTTTGTGAAGTATTCAGAATTATGATTCTGACCAGACAGGTTGGAAGGAAACAAAAGGTAAAGTCATTTATATACATCTGTTCAGTGTTTCACTCATCATAACCACTATTCACAGCTCCTGCAGGCAATTACAGTCACCCCCAGAACAACCTTGCTCTTCAAAGTGTGTTGGTGGTTTGTTTCTTTTGGAGAACAAGTTCTGAGCCCCAAGAGCCTTGACAGCATCCCAAGTCCTTAGTTTTCACTTCTCATGTATGAACTCTGTTGTTTAAACACATACTCTGCCACTTTATGCATTCCAAGACCTGCACAAGGAAGAAGTTGGCAAAACCCAGTCCTGTGCACTTACTTGTGTGCAGAAAGAAGTGTGCAAAGTAACCTTTGCTTCACAAGGATCAAACTGAGAGCTGTATTTCAAAGTATCAAACATTGTGAACCAGACTAAAAAGAAGGTTATAAAGTTTTTAGAATGTACTTTGTGGCTGTTTCTCCTTTTTTAATACTGAATAAATCGGTATCAGACAGCTTTGCTACAAGAAAGCAGACCAAAGGACCATTAAAAAATCCAGAGCAAATCAGAAGTAGTGCAAACTATTACCTAGTACTAAATCCATTTCTGAGCCGAGTACATTCCAGATATTCAGAATGCTCTGCAAGGAATTTATAACAAATATATACTGCTTGCCAGGCATTTATTTGCATATTTTATTCAAATAACACATTATTACTTATACAACTCGGTATGAGAAAGAGACCCAACAGCTTACAGTGCTAGGAACTGCCTGCTTGGAGCACTCTCACCTCGGTCATTAATGCCCAGACATTTATACCTACATGTACTGCTCTGATTTGAACACGAGACTTTTCACTGCTGAATAAATCAATGGAACTCACTATTTTTTAAATAAACAGTCCCCTCAACACAATGACCCGTTCAAAATGGCATCTATTCCCTTGCCACGTGGAGAGGAACTATAGGCACTGAAGAACTCATTGGCTTAACACTGTACAATTGTTCAACCCAATACAAGTGGTTTAAAGCTTGAAGCCCTTTGTAATTCAGACTTGAACATTAAATTGCCATATACTGGTCCAAATTCTTTTGAAACCAATACACATTGAAGAACAATGAGTTTTAAATTTCTGCACGGTTACATGTCCCAGGGAATCAGTGGTTACAGATTCTAAGGGTTGGGGAGTGGACTTTTACTTTGTTTCTTGCATGTTATTTCATTTGGCAAAAATACTTCCATAGGGTTAAGAAACACTACTTTTGCACACTCTTTGGCCAGAATTAAGCATTTGGAAAAAGAAAAGGCTTGTTCCCACTTTGAGGAAGTGCTGTAATTTAGAGGTTCTCTATGGGACAGTTTGACAAGATTCTCAGGCCTATCTGCATTTCTGGTGAGAGTCAGAGATATTTCTGCAATTACAGACTCCCTGAAAGACAAGAGACATACTAGTCTGGGTGTCTACTACTGTGACAATAGAAAACTATCCATGTTTTGAAAACTCAGCTTTAATCATTAGCAGAAGTAATTTTACAGCAGAGCTTTTCATTGCATTCTGCCACGAAACTTCTGGAGGAAATGTTCCCAGTTCCATCTACTGGTGATGACTATTGGGATTTTTTAATGCTATCGTTTGTTATCAGACAGTGAAAAATACAAGATAAGGCATTTTCATAGCCAATTTCAGTTCTGGAGGAAGATTCTTAAATACAAAAGACATGCCAGAAGTCTGTACACATCTGACCCATTCTGAACAGCAATATTTCATAAATTAGTTGATTGAAAAGATTTTCCTCTCAAAAAGAGCCTGGATTTCTTAACATAGCATTTTACCTTGAAATTACTACAGAAGAAAAAGATTACTGCAGCATTAAAGAAACGATTATCTAAAAGTTTGAACATATTTACACATTTAAAAATAATTACTTTTATATGGTGTACAACTAGGTTCTTATTTCAAAAAAGCAGCACAAGCTATTCCCTACAGCTGGATAATTTCAATACAGTTGCCAGTTCACAAGTGTCAGCACAATTGCAAGGTTTGAGTCTTTTGACCTAATGAACTTTAAAAAGAAGAATTGGATCTCTTGCCTCTATTGCAGTTAGCAACAGGATTTTCAAACTGCTCCCATGTGCTGTGGTGAGGGATCCCTACAGCCACTGGCTCCCACAGCTCCTCTTCCTTGAAGGAGATGGAAGATGTCACCTGCAGAGAAGGACCCGATGGAAGTGCAGCTGCTGTCACCTGTTGGAGGCTGCGTGTGCTGTTCTGTAACACACTTGTTTCCTCTACGCCCTCACAGGCTTGCAGCCTGTACCAGGGCCTGGCTCTCAGAACTAGCCAC